TCCTCTGAAATGCTGGTAGCCACACAGAAGACTACAGCGGTCATAACCCAGAAGACCAAATTCAAAATATAAACTTTGGTACTTCAAATATCAAGTATTGTAGATCCCTAGACAATGGTTTGTTCAACAACTTAGAAAATGAATGCATAGCATAACAATTGTGACACATTAGCTATGGAATTTCCTCCATATTTCTTGAGTTACAAACAACAGAACTGATATCCCATTTCTTTAATCATTTACAATTCTATCAGATTCTCATAAACAGTATACTGTATACAAAATGTACATTTACATTTCACGTAAGAATATATTTTGTATATAAAAATATGTTTTTGTGCAGGACACTTGATGAAGCAAGTAATTTTACTTTCTGGTTCACCTTGATATCAATTTGAATAAAATAGTAGCTAACAGTAACAAGCAAGATGTGAAATGTGTAGCAAATTCATGGAACTGGAAAATTACAATCACATTTCATTAACTGATTATGAGCTATAAATTTGTGTAATTTCTGTAGCTCACAGTGACTTGAAAATGAAATTGATGAGACACGTACGGCACAGTCATACAAAAACTGGTACTTAATTTCTAGTGTTTCACATCCTCATTTAGCTAAAATAACACTGTCCTAAAAGGCTCCAGTATTATCTCCTCTGTGGGTCTCAAAGGATGACAGTGCAACCCAACAATGTACTAACAAATGTGAAATAGTGTAGAGATGAAATAAATGTCATTGCCTCATACAGCAATCTATTTTTAACCCACATCCCTTACTTACTTACTTACTTAGCTAGCTTCCCACCATGGTGGCCTGGGTTCGATCCCGGGTCTGGTCAAGTGGGATTTGTGGTGAACAAAGTGGCACTGGGGAAGGTTTTCTCCGAGTACTTCGGTTCCCCTGCCAATCTTCATTCCACCATTTCCTCTACAATTATCCTCACCTATCATCTGGGGCTGGTACAATAGGCCAGAAGTGGCTGCAGTACAAGGGACTTAGCAATAGAACTAGGTATAAAAAATAAATAAATACTTACTTACTTATGGACCTAAGCCCTGCTTGAGGAGAAGCCAAATCTGCAGCTACTCAAGAATTTCCCAGTATTTTATGAAACCCGAAGGTTCATTACCGTGTTCATAGGAGCCCTCCATTGGTCCCTATCCTGAGCCAGATCAATCCAATCCATCCCATCCTATCTCTCTAAGATCCATTTTGATAATATCTACTCACCTATGCCTTGGTCTTCCCAGTGGTCTCTTTCTTTCTGGCTCTCCCACCAATATCCTATATGCTTTCCTTTTCTCCCCCATTCGTGCTACATGCCCTGCCCACCTCATCTTCCTTGACTTGATCATTCTAATTATACTTGGAGAAGAGTATAAGTTATGAAGCTCCTCATTATGCGGTTTTCTCCAACCTCCTGTCATTTCATCCTTCTTCGGTCCATATATTCTCATCACCCTGTTCTCAGACACCCTTAGTCTATGTTCCTCCCTTAATGTCAGAGACCAAGTTTCACACCCACACAGAACCACCAGCAAAATTATAGTTTTGTATATTCTAATTTTTATGTTTCTGGACAGCTGACAAGAAGACAACAGGTTTTGTACTGAATGGTAGCAAGCATTACCCGAGTTCAATCTCCTCTTAATTTCCTCCTGAATCAGGTTTCGATTTGTTATCATCATTCTGCGCCACATTTTCAAAACATCTGTTTCCTATCTTTATGTCATGATTTTGCCCTGCATTTTGGTGATAAGACAGCAACATATACTTAGTTTTCTCTGTGTTTACTTCTAGACCAACCTCTTTACTTGCATCAATTAAAGTTTGTGTGTTTTTCTTTACGGTACTTATATTATCACCCAGTAGATCACATCATCATCATAGACCATTTAATTTCAGTCCCACCTGGTTTTCCTGAACCTTCCTAATGGCATATTCTAAAGCAAAGTTGAAAAGGAGTGGCAATAAAGCATCTCCTTGTCTTAGACCATTCTGGATAAGAAATTTATCAGACAAATTTTTATCTACATGGACTTTACTATAACTTTCGTTTAAACACATTTTAATCAGCTTAACTAGTTTCACGGGTATCCCAGACTCTATCAGAATATTGTACAATACTTCCCTCCTAACTGAATCGTAGGCTTTCTTGAAGTCTGTGAATAGCTGATGTACTGTCTCATTATACTCCCATTTTTTCTTCAATATCTGATGAATTGAAAAGATTTGATCAGTAGTTGATCTGTTATGTCAAAACCCACACTGATGATCCCTAGAAATTTCATCTATATATGAACTTAACCTTGAGAGAAGAATACTGGATAAAATTTTGTATGAAGTTGAGAGCAGTGATGTCCCCCGATAATTACTACAGACAGTTTTATCACCCTTCTTGTGAACTGGTACAATAATAGATTTCTACCACTGATCAGGCAATTTTTCATTATGCCAAATAGAAGTAATTAGCTTAAGGATCTTAGAACATAATATTTTGCCTCCTGCTTGAACAAGCTCTGCTAGAATTTGATCACTACCTGGTGATTTATACCGTTTAAATTTTTCAATAGCAATTTCAACCTCAAAAGGGCTGGGATCAGGTATTAACGGCTCAGCTGTGTGCATTTCTGTCTGCCTAATATCACTGACCCTTACATGCAATAACTGAGAGAAGTAGTAAATCTAAATTGAGTTACAGAGGTTACTAGTTTCTGTAAGGCCTAACAGGTCTTCAGACGTTGAATAGACATTGGCCAGATTGAACAATGGATTGTTTAATTCTGCTCTGATTTCTTCATTTAGCATTTTATTAGCCCACTTTCTTATGCTGAAAATATAAAAGGAGGCTTATGAGATCACATTTCTGCCTGAGTGTCTGTGTATCCCCCTAACTCCTAATGGGTAAATTGCTCCTGGCCATCGATATCACAGACATCCCTGGTTCTTAGCGCTGCAGGACTCGACCATATTTTGCTGTGTAATGAGACTGGGAGTCATACAACGAACCCCCAAACTCTTGACCATAGAGTTGTCCTCTATACAAAATTTTGGGTTAGACTGCAGAGAAAACTCTACCTTTAACAGTCTCTTTGTTGTTAGCAAATTTGACCTGTGTGTCTGTATGCATACTACCCATATCATTGCTAGGCAACAGATTGGTAAACACGTTCCACAGCAATGAATGCATATGCCACCATACACGAATTGTTAAGACACTTCTTTTTCTATGCCATTTGTGTTGTATCAAAGGAAAGCAGGCCACTCGTTCATCCAAATATAGTAAGAATCTTAAAAATTACGCTTCACCCAACTATGATCTGCTCCATTTTTCATATTAGCCAAGTATATATATTTTGGCCACAATATGATGTGAAACAGATGTTTACTCAGTTAATTAAATAAAATCTTTTGCTTTATTCCTATTGACTTCTCCCGAAATGGTCTGCAGAAGTCTATTAAGATTTAAGTGGCTTCAAGTGATAGTATGGCTCACAAACATTTGTCTTCAGTTGAACTAACTTTATATCTTAATGATTTTAATTTCCTTTGTGCTGCTCTCTAGTCTCACTATGTCATATATGAGAAGGAATGTAAACACATACTTTATCTCAGTCATATCCGTTCACATTTTAAATAAGGTACTAATAGAAAGGGACACTATAACTTCATGTCACTGTCAGTCTTATATATGAAAAACACCTTTCTTGTTCGCATTCAAGAAATACACTGCAGAAGCAACATTGCAGGAAGCTATGGCTTCCAATAGTAACAAAAATCAGACTTTAGGAATCAGTGGAAAATGGTGTGTCCTGCTGTTCAATGGAAAAATAAACTCCACACTTTACATATTTTATATCCAGCCCTATGGGGAAGGGATTGGATCAATGAAATGTAAATGTAAGATATTAGGAGTGTAGAATTTGTTCTAACAAATATGAAGTATAAATATTAATTACATTCACAATATCTGCTCAGTATCGGTGTTAGAAGTTAAAATTTCAAAGCCCATTCCTTGTATGAATGACATGCATAGAAGTTACATATTACACATATTTCATACCTTAATCTTCCATGGTTATGGTTTAAAAATTCAGTAAAGTAATATTTGAAGGCCTTCATAATATGGATTCATTCTATACCACAACTTTAATTGTATAGTAATTTTACATGATTTGCCCAGTTGTAAGAATATTTGGAAAAAAAAAAAAGCATTACATACAAATTTTTAGTGAAGCAGCCTATCCATATTATTCATGCACAGTAAAAGGTACGATGCAAGTTCAATAGGTGGTGATCTTTAGCAGTAGGGGAAATAAGCAGATCTGAGATATAACTCATGTTCTGAAGAAAATACACAAAGTTGTGGGTACTTGGAAAAGGCTAAACACTGAAAATTCTTTTATTGTGATCATGCAGTTAGTGAAATCAGCCTACCTGCATCTCTATATTTATTAATCTCATTCTCCTTCTTCTGTAAGAAGGATTTGAGCCCAAGTTTCATGAATAATTGAAATTAGCTAAACCCTGAAACACTGTTAATTCATTAATTTCTTTATTTTATGTAAACAGGTATGGCTCATGCATCTGTAACTTCAGTACTGAGACAGAGGTAACTGATCAGTACCACATGCCAAGGAAAGAGCTCGTGATAGACATTGGGCAGGAGGCAGGGCCTATCTAAAATGTAACCTTGATATGGTGGCAAAGAGAAAACTCCTGCGGTTATGTGTTTGTAATTATTTACCTGTTTCACACATAGTCTGATTACCTAGCTATGAATACTGGAGTTCTGTGTACACATGCAACCGGTCTGCACAGCTGTAGATGGTAGAGAATAATCAGAGTCGGCAACACTATATATATATTAGCACAACCGAGGTTTCAATGAATCTATCTGTATATGAGTAAAGAATGGGGGTTTCTTCTTTAAGCCATGATAAATTGTTTAGCAGAAATTTTTTTTGGCTTGAATGGAAATATTAAAGCTCTCAGATCATTTACTAACCATTCTGACATTTATTCTCTTTCTGGAAATCAATGGAAACAGGACAACTTCGTATAATTATTTCTGCCAAGATTATTTCACTGACAAAGGAAGATTAAATTAAAATTATAAACTTGTTTATGACATGTATCGATGAAATGCGTGTGTATCAAGTACTGTGGAGAACACAAAAGGCATCTGCAACAGAGAGGAGAATAATGCTATAAAATTATGGATAAATAATACATGAGGGAAACACTATGCACAAGAGATGTTGATTAAGGTAGACATTAAGAAACAACACGAAAATATTAAGTTTCTTCTCTTCCTATAACTATTATGTATGGTCCTGTGTTAGTTTTTCTTTTGACATATGAATCAACTGGTGGTACTGATGTTGCAAAGAGTTGTACCACCCCTGTAGTTTTATGAACTCTGAGTCTGATGTCTTTGGGTCATGCCCTCTAATAAAATCTATAGCATGTCAAAAGGTTGACCTGCTTCCACTTTAAAATGTTAAATCTACCCCTGCCATTTTCATAAATCAGTGGAGTCCCAGAGTATTTCCTCTGGGACCTATTCTTCAACTCACACTGGTATAACTTGATATATTCGTGAGGGGTTCATGTCTTGAGACATTGGGCTGCAACTTTAGTTTAGATTAGTTTTTAAGAACAAGAGAAGAGTTGAAGGGTGCATTTTTGTCTGGGTTGTTGCTAGGAGAAGGCTGACCAGGCTTAAGTTGGCCAATGCTTGTATGTAATATACACACAGTTCAATAAATCCTCTATATTCTGTAGTGAGTATATGCTCTTTGTGGTTGGAATACACACTCAGGCAGCCAACTGACAAATCATCATCACTGAATTATTACGCTACCGCTCGGCCAATAGTTCAGTCAGCCCACCAATATCTTCGGTCATGACACTGAGTTGCCAAATTCATTCAGTAGCTCAAAATTAACAGCCAACTGAACAACATATTGTGATGTAGCTGGTAGTGTGCCACAAGACCACTTAAACGTTTGAAGTATAAAACATGTTTTCTTTTCTCCATTCAATAGGAGCTCTGATGATTTGCTTGGAATTAGTTGTATGCAGTGTATGGCTGATATCTCACAGTGTTTTACTTTCAAACGTGCCAGGCCAGGGAAGGGAGCAGGTTAACTGCTAGACTAGAGGTTCAGAACTGTGCTTTTGGCATGTGTCATAATGAAGGGAAGTGCAATTGAAATAGTCTCTGTTAACAATTCTGTGTCATTTGATTGCATTTCTGCATGACATGACTTATAGATTAGCATTTTGCCATTGCTAAACAAGAGTGTATGTGCTTGTGAACATAAGTGGCAACTTCTAATTTTTCTGTATGACTTGAGTGGGGTAAAAGGAATGGCAGCATTTTCATTTATGGCTACAAATAGAGCATCAATGGAAGGATCTGCATGTGTGGAATTTATATTCCTTGGTACAGTTTGATGTTTTTCAGTCACTGTTCCACTGTAGATAGAACCAGGAGTACAAACATTCATTGTCAGTTAAATGATAATTTAATGCCAAACATGTCACAGGTCGTGGCTACAATCAGGCTTGCCACCACTGCCAACTATGTCGTATGACAATTCAACACAGTCACTCATTTGTCACTGGCAACTAAATTTTTAGGTCTCACAACAGAACACCATATCCTGCCACACTAGCAGTAAACCTGAAACTTTTTTTTGGTTGGGTATCTTGCAATAAATACAGTGATGGTAAGTGAATATTTAATACTGCAAGAATTGTGTTGTTCTCTTCATCCCAAAANAGGGGGGGGGGGGAACAGAAAATTTCATTTACAGAATGTAAATAAGCAACAAAACTTTATGTGAAAATAATGTTTCATAATTGCTGTTAATTTTGTTACAAAGTTTGTTCCATTATAAAAAGTATAAAATTGTGACTTCTATGAGATCATAACACAATTCACTAAACTATACAAATTTATGGACATTGTCCATTGTCTGAGGAATATTTGATATACATAATATTTTGAGAGTTTAGCTCTACTCAGTGGACTGATTGTCTTTATTTACAGATTTAATACTTCTTATTCTTATTAGCTGCCATCCCAGTGAGCTAGAGATTAATGTACTGGCCTAATATTCAAGTGATTGGATCCACTAATAATATTAAAATGTGAAAATGTTGTAATATATTGTCAGTATAAATACAACCAATCACCTCAAGACAGGTGAATAGCCAAATTCTGAAACATTACACGTATCAAATACACTTCATACGATCAGCGCTGTCCAACATAAGCACAGCGAATCAACCACTGTCACACACATTTAGAAAGTACTTCACTATACATTATGCTATATAACACATTTGGTGTATAATTTGTCTTGAGTTTATGTATCATATAAAATTATTAATTTTTTCATTACATTCCCAACAAACTCATTATTTATATATTTAAAATATAAGAAGATTACTCTTAGCTATGCCCAAAAAAAGAAATGCATGTGGGTGTCTTTACAAATTGCTCAGACTAGCAACAGCAATGCCCATGTATATCAGCCTCAATGACTTGATACAAAGTGCAGGACAATCTATCCTCAAAAGTCTGCATTTGCAAGCACATAGAGACTGACTGGTTGACTGTCATTACCCTCACCTACAGACCATGTAATCAGTAGAATTAGCTTTGTATCTGTATGTTTATTACCTTCATATTCTGCAACCAAATATCCGTAATTCCTTCACTTACATATAATGTATGTAATACTTATATATATTTGTACCATCTCAAATAAATATCAAAGGTATTCACATTATATACTCTAAACACAGGAATTTTTGGAATCTTTCAGATGTTTTGTGTTTAATAAAATTACCTATATGGCTGAAAAATGGAATTAATTTTAAAGAATATTTATGAGCCAAACCTTGATTACTCACATTTTTAGAAATCCCTTCTCATACATTTCAGTTCAGACAATAACTCAGTACTTTTCATTTACCTTGTGCAGCTTCTGAATATGTGTACAGTGCAACATGGTAAGAACATTCACAAATTCAGTATTGCACTTTCCTGGTGGAGTATCAGTTACATACTCAAACTGTTAATGATACTTCTACTCGTATACAGTCTACGATTTATTAAAAAACACTGTTATAACAACAACAACAATAAAATACTTAACTGGTTGATAAAAAACATCAAATAGTGTAAAATATATGTATGAGCAATACATCATAGCTCGACACATTCACAAAATATAAATATTGCTAAAACTGTCACTGGAGACCTAATTACAAATGAAGTTTTCACATTACTGCCCCTAGATTGTTTTGTAAGGTATTCTGATTGTTAATAATATAAATTTAAAACATTATTTGTTTTCAAAATGGATCATTCACAACAAGAATTTCTGTCTATATTTCTACACTTTCAGTCTACAGGGAGAACTGTGTATTATTTAAGGTAATTTAATGAACTAACACAAACGCGATAATATGGTATTGCAATTAGGTCCCAGATATTTGGCTGAAACCCATGACCTTCCATTCAGTCATCACCCAACACAGGAAGATTCTGACAGCATGACTGGACTAGAATACCGGGATTAGTTAACAGTTCTGTTCCCTGAGGTGGGACACCTAAGCTAGGGCTCTGCCCAGCATGCTGCATGTGGGCCAGCCCCGAAATACTCCGTAGCAAGCACACATTAAAGCCCTACACAGTAAGGTCTTCCCAGTCCTCTATTTGCCGTGGGCTAAGGTGTATCCGCAGTGTTGTCACTGACTGGAGGGCAGAATGGCTTTGGGAGCTCAGTGGGTTCTCCTGCAGATCCACTTCCTGCAGGGATGGTGCCTCCTGTAACCGCTCCACCTCTACATCTGTAACAGCGCAATACATTTTTGCTCTTTCTATGAAATAAGCTCTTTTAGACTACATCAAATACACTGATCACAAAAATTTGTAACAAATATAGATTTTTTGTTATCTGCCTTCTTTCTTTTGATATGAGACATGGTAAAGGTAAAGAAAGGTAAAGGTGTCCCTGTACTTAAATAATTAAGTACCATGTGATGAAGGCATATGGAGAGTAGATGTATACATGTAGATCCACGTTTTTTGACCTCAGCAATAGTTGGAGTTGAGTGGTCAGCTTCATGGCCCAGTCACTTTACCCACAGTACCCACTGGATAGGAGGCTGGGTGGGCCCCAGGACTGGTATGGAGGACGTGGAGAAGAGGAAATTCTTGACCCTGTCAGAACCCAAACTCCGACCACCATGTCATCCAACCCATAGCCAGTTGCTGTAGCGACTGTGCTTTCCTGGCTCCTAATGTAAGACATTTGACTGTAGAGTAAAGCCCCTTCAACTGGGCCACCTGTCTGTCTTGCATCTTGTCCAATTTGTATGTCATGCTGTGGATGAAAATATATTTATTTTGGCCACACAGATAAAATAAATCATATTTTGTCACTCCTTCCAGAGTCTATGCATAATGCTATGTCATATAATATGTAAATAAAATCATGCATTGGGCTCAAAACAAGGAAGTTACATCAGTTAGCACTGGGTACAGGAAAGAAGTTTTGCACTTGAGAGCCCAAGGTATCTGTCAGTGGCCATTAAAAGCTGTTCAGCAAATTGGTTGATTCTAAAAGGCTTGGCATGGTAAATGCAGCAATGAAAGGATACATATAGATAAAATGGAAAATGAATCTGTGGTTGCCCTTCAATTTGAGGTTCTCATGGTGGAGACTATGAAAAGTATGGTCTTTTGGGTTATAATGCCATGGAGTTCAGAGACAGCTCAACGATTTGGATGAAAATATTACTCTGGACTACAGGGTTGAAAAGTAAGCCATGGCAGAAACGAGCAGAAGCAGGTGGGAAAGACTTTCTGCCTTCCTCAGCTGGTTTCTGGCTTTGCTTACTCTTCTACCCAGAAGATGGAGGCATATCTCCCTCCAAAACGTCAACCTCTCTCCAAGCTAGGCTGTGTTAATATTCTTGTTCTGAAATATTTTCCACATATGTACATTGCAGTTATTGGGCCAGCTATTCAGTATGCAGTTACTACAGACACATTAGTGGAAAATGTTAACCCTTTTTATCTGCTAAGCAGACACATTTAAGTGGAACCGGTGGTGGTCAACTCAGATTTCATTGTATATACCATGTCTTATGAAAATTGGAATAATGACCTTATTTAAATGAGAATAAAAATTAATTTGCTAACCAAAATACACATTCTCACACTACAGTTGAGAAAATATAAGAACACTGAAAAAAGTTACAATAGTGGCACTGCTGCAACCCAAGATTCTGGTTGGCACAATGGAAAGTATTTGGGTTCATTTTTGGAATTGGTGTATCAGAGAGAATTTAGAAAGTTTCTATCTTTTTACCATGGCATTTGAAGCTAGTGCAATCACTAATGATCCGTTAATGACACTGTAATTTGATAATAATACATAGTTCATTGTATCTTTTTATATGATGCAGTATATGGCTGAGAGAAGTTGAGATATGAAGTATATCTTGTACTAATAAATCAGAAGTACAATGAATATATTTCAGACTTGGTTGTTTGCTCAAGTTTGAAACTAAGTTGATATCTCTTCTGCAAACTTCTCTAAGTCCAAAGAGCAGCATCCTTGAAAAGCTTCTCATTCATTTAAGAAATTATCCACTTTTTTGGAAACTGAAGTTTCATTCTTGTGATCACCATAAGAGCTGGCCACTGGACTCTACTATGAGCCAGTTGCATCAATCCTCACAACCCATTTCTGTTTTACCATTATTCTCACATTTAAGCACAGGTCTTCAAGGTAGTCTCTTCACATAAGACTATTCAAGTACATTGCTTTATGTATATTTGCCTTTCCATGTATGTTACATGCCATGGCCCATCTAAACCTCCTTCATTAATTCACTCTAATAATAATATCTGGCGAAGAGTGCAAATAAGAAAGATTCTGTTTTGAAGCTTATTAGACTCCTGCTTTTAAATGTCCGAAAATTATCCAAAGCAAGCCTTGTCAAGTATTATAACATCTGTAGATACATACCGACAATATGGTTGTTCTGTGCCTGCAGATGTGACAATTTGGGCATCTTATACACAACATGTGGTAGAGCAATATATGCATTGTGGGAAATGTCCAGTCTTTCCAGTTCTGCCAGGTCTGCCAGTTCCTCAGGCAGTTTACTCATCTGATTGTGGGAAAGATTTAAGTCTGAAACAGAAATATGTTCCTCATTTAATTTTGTGCAAGAAAACATTCTTACTATCACTACTCATGAGTAACAGAGGAAACAAGACTGTACTGTACCTTAGATGGTTAGTTAGTTATAAGAGAGGGTGGGTTTCCCCATGCACTTAGACCAGTATTGGTCCATTGTGCTTCCCTCTATGATATTCTACCAGTCTCTATACCCTACCGATATTGGTGCATACCACCAGTCCCGACCGAGCCAGCGAGTTCGCCTCTACTGGCTTGGCGGTATCTATAATGCTTCCCCCATCTATCGGACGTGTTAGAGACTACTGTTGGGCGGGTAATGTCCTGAATTTGGCTCAGTGACCTCCTTTGGAAATATGAGGTTCTTTTACGTGCCGTAAAGCTACGACACGGGACCCACAGCTTAAAGTCCCTCCCGGAGGACTTGTTCCCTGAATTTTTCTGCCCTTAAAAATTCCATGACCTCCGCTGGGTTTTTGAACCCGCATACCACGAGTCATGAGGTGGGAACGTTACCTCTAGACTACGGAGGCCGCTTACCTTAGATGGTTAGTCAATGATTTCTTACCAGGGTTGCACGAGTTCGGTCCCAGGTCAATTAATGTGGAATGGGATTTGTGTGGTGGACAAAATGACACTGGGACAGGTTTTCTCCAAGTGTAATCTACCCATATCAATTCTCAGTCCACTAAATGTTATGTTTATCTTGTCTGTCATCCAGAGTTGGTACAATGGGAAATTTATGACTCAAGTACCAAGTGACTCAGCCACAGCCCACTATGAAGTTTCTTCATAATTGTTGTAAAATATGCATGGATTTTCCAACAGTAGGGAGTGTGGTCTTTAAATAATCTATTCAAAAGAGCAAAACGATTACGATTTACACACATGATTAAGTATTATTAAAGTTTAATAATTCCACGTCTTTAGGCCTTATTCACTAAGCAAAGAAGAATTGCCTTACTTTGGTAGATCATGTGTCTATTATCTGGTACGAGCACCTAATTCACTGGCCACATTTTTGTTTCAATTTTTGGTATGGGAGACTTTCAGAGAGCTGGGATAGCACAATTGGTACAGCGACTGGCTGCCGAGGTGAAGAAAATGTGGCTCTATACATCCACTCAGCCATACACCTTCATGGTGTAGTGCTTAATTAGTTAAGCCCAAGGACAACTTTACTTTATGGGAGACTTTAACTAAAGTTGTCAGGCAATTCCCATTTTCATCCATATTGAACCCTGACAAAGTCCATTTTATTCAATGCCATAAGTTCCTAACAGGCCACAAATAATGTTATGAACAGTAAAGAATACCACTAGAAATTATATGCACTACATTTCCAGTCTGAGCTTCTGGGGCACTGTTTAGCAGGAAAAATATCATGAAAATTGGCAGAAATAGGTTTTAGTCAATTTTACAGCACCATCTAAGCTGGAAGAATAAAACATAACACCACAAGTTTCAACTAGGACATGTAATACCAGGAATAAAAGTTCAGGCCTTTTGGAATACAAAACTATACATGGCAAATCCAACATTCAGTATGAGTGGCTTCCCCCGAGCTTTTGACAGTTACAGTGCCATGAAAATGTACATGGTAATAGGTAAACAAGCAAATATTAAGTGTGTGTGTGTATGCCTGCTTCTGGTGTGTACAGAGAGAGAGAGAGAGAGAGACATAGTTACCAAGTCTGTTTTCAGCATTGCTTCCTATCATTTTGACACATTGTGCACTTTAACTAATTACCACTGGATAATATTTCAGACTTTCATTTGAAAGGAACCTCAACTGAAATCATGGCTCTGAAGATTTTCGTTATCCTTTAGCTCACCGGACAAACTGAGAGACTAGAAAAATTTGTCTCAAATCCCTGTCCCCAGACATCTTATTTGACAGTACAAACTTTCCAGCAGCTTATAGAGATTGTACGGCAACCAAAGAAACCTATATTGTTATTACTACACCTACTGTTGTTTGGTAATGGGATTGGAGATTTTCTGGAGCGTTAGTTGGGATGGATATTTCTCCATAAACAATAGCATCATGAACAACCAGCTGTTTACATCCTTCCAACTTGGCATTCTGTGATATACTCCATTATAGATAAAGCGACTGTAATCCTTCTTGAGAAGTTAAGTTTCCAGCTGATCAAGCCAATCAAGCAATTCTCTGCCTTAAAGTGCCTACCAATCGAACCTAGCCTAAACCAGACGAATCCACTGATTCTCCCTTACCACGCAGTTGGAGGCGCCTGGATCCCCTGAAACGTTAGTACCTCTCTACCTCTCTCTACTAACTGCACAACCCAACATTCCAAAGATCGTAATCTTCATAGCCAGGGCCGTCAGAATTGTATCTCGCAGAGGTGAATGTAGTACACATAATCACAGTGTATTGCATTAACATCCATTTTAATATCGTTTTACTATCTACGCCAATGCCTCTGGTTTTTTAAGTTTCGGTTTTCCAATTACAATCTTGCACACTTTTCTCATCTCTTCATGCATCCCTTGTGCTTCGCCAACCCCATTCTCCTTACACTGACTACGATGTCTGGTAAATTGTATATCCACTTTAGATTTGAGAGTCTTACTACACGGCGGCGTCACATCTAAGTTATGTTGCATATCTTCCCCTGTCGCGATGTCGTATTAACCCTTTGCTAGGCATAAAGAGAAGACTGCGTCAGATTCCATCCGCCTTTTCAGCTACTCTGTATAAAATGACAAGATGCTTGTGTAAACGTCTCATTCTGAAGCACAAATCAGTCAAGGAGCCACGAATTTATGCAGCATTTGCTCTATACAAAGTACAGGCTCAGACAGGATCGTGGGTGGTCCTCTGTTTGTAGGAAGTTGACATATGGTCCATACAAAACATTCAAGAGGCCAGAGGGGTAGGAACACGTGACTGAGTGTTCTGCGCAGTGTTGAGATACAAGCAGTTCATGGTTTATTTAGACATTTGCGAAATATTCCTTTGGTTGGTATTTTGCCAAGGTTCTGTGCATTCAACAAAGACATGGAGGAATTATTATGCGCAAATTCATTCAGGGGCAACGAACTAATTACATGTAAATTCTTAGTGTGCGATAAGGTATGAATGATGAAGTTACGATATGCCACCGTCGGTGTATACTGGAAGGTAACAAATTAACCTAAACTGTGTCAGAGCAAAAATACAAGAAGGGCACTAACAAATTAAATGGCATGCCTCAGGAGGTTACGAAAATTAAATTTGGAAAATGCCTGCTACCATTCGATTCAGAATCTTTGGTCTTCTTGTCTTCTGTCATAAAATGTAAAAGGTTGAAAGGTAAAGTTGCCACTGTGCTTAACTAATTAAGCACCAAGCCATGGAGACATACGGGGAAGTGGAGATATAGCTCCACTCTTCTTGATCTCGGCACTAGATGGAGGTGTGCGGTCAGCTTCACGCCCTGGCCGCTCTACCCTCGGAAGCTGACAACCTTACCGCCATCTGTGAGCCGATTGTCCAGAGAAAATGTGGGATCCTCGACGTCTCATAACCCTGTGGGCTTTCCCGGCCTTTTACAGGGATCTCTTTCAGTATTTGCTTTGGCCACACCACGATACAGATTTTACAAATGTTTACATTATATTCTATTAGGCATCGGTTTTAATTAAGGAGGATGTTGTAACTTGATATTTTACTTTCGGAGCAAATAGTCCTAGCCACTGACTCATCTTTAAACCTACTCGGTCTGATGAGAAGTGAAAACTGTAGGGCTGTATAGGCTTACTGGATGAATAAACGTAAATATTGTGGCTTCGGTGTTTTCTGTTAGTATACAATTCGTATACAATTCGAACGAAAGTTAAATAAATAAATACGGAAATAAATAATTTGTTAACTTCAAAGTCGTGTAATAAGCACTATATTAAAGAATGAACTCTCTGCGTCTAAAGCGGTCTAAACTAAAATAGGACCTTTTCCCCTCAAATCCAATTGTTTTGTGGAAGAAGTGGTTGATTACTGAATAAGACAGTTCGAAAGTATACTGAATTCGTAATACGTGCTTTGTGCAATTACCTCGAGACTCGTAATACGGAAGGGAAAATTGGAAAAAGGTAGAGCTATCCCTGTAACAGACCGTGGAGGCACATAAGGTTGTGAGACGTCGAGGCTCCCACATTTTCTATACTGTCGGCTCACAGATGGCTGTGAAGTTGCTTTGGGTACAAGAAATTCCACAGACTACCCAATTCGAACCAGATATTCTGCTACATTTATATGCTACACGGCAGCTTATTTAAGGACGTCATATCGACTGCAGAGATCATTAGCGTGGCATGAGATGAAGGGATGATTATGCATGAATGAAGCTGTGAAACCGTGTCGTCAGTATTCATTCAGTATTCGTTAATAATGTAGCTTGTTGAGACGTTCCCGCGGCAACGGATACTCATGCAAGAATGGTGTTTTCTAAACGGTCCGTGCAAAGGGGTTATAAGGAAGACAACTGGGGCGACCAAGTTAGTTCTATGCATGAGAGACTGAAGAAAAAAGGGACAGTTGGAAGAGAGGACTTGAGCGCGGAAATATCTCTTAGAAGCCCTTACCAGGAAACGGCTGATGAAGACACAGCAGGCTGGAAAATGCTTAGTAGATGCTGTGGTGATCTGTAAATTGTGGAAATTAGCGGTTGCACTGTAATTGCTTGTAGTTCTGAGTCGCGTATATAAGTGGTCAATAATTCCAGTATCCAATCCCGCTGAGAGTCACTCTAACACGTGACAATATTCTCTCGCGTTTTTTTATTTCTCCACAGAATTCGAACAGTAAAGTAGAACTGTAAGTTTTGTATACACAGTAGGAGTATGTTGGGCAAGTGGGAGATCCGCGTACTCAAAATCCATACCCACCCTCTCGTCAGAGAGGATGTTACGTAAAGATTATTACCGCAAGAGTTCAGTTGAAAACAAAAATCTAGTCGTGAGTCTCCAGGGGCTTGGCGGTAAACCGCCAGTCGCAACGTAACTTTGGCTTTGACTTTGACAAAATCCAATCATAAAGCCATTACATCAAATACTGAAAACATTGAATACGACATGTTTCAATAATCACCTCTACAGAACCAGTTTTCATGGAAACGACGACCCATAGACCAGTGTTAGCAGATGCACAAGCCTCCAAGCAGCTCATGCAGCATACCGTATTACCACAATATCACACGCAGCACCATTACGACTTTATCGCATACACACAAACAGACCTATATTATGTGGTGGTATGCAGGCAAGTACGAACCAAGTACAACCGCGATGACAGGCGCGGTTTCTCTTGTGGAAACATGTCTAGGTAACCGAATTGTTCCTGCGTGAACGGAACCAACGTTTTTTGGATTCTAGATTCAACCGTTAGTCCAACGTCTTGTCTGGAAGAAGCGTCACTACCAAGAACTATATTATTTTCTTTAATTAATTAATTAATTAAGTGTGTATTTTCGTTCTATTATTTTACGAACAGGCAGTTGGCAACACAGAAACAGTTGGGGGTCGGGGTGAAGGCAAAGGTAAAGGTACAGCTATCCCTGTAAGAGGCCATGGAGACCCGTAGGGTCATAAGACGTCGAGACTCCTACACTTTCTAGACTGTTGGCTCACAGATGGCGGTGGAATTGTCAGCCTTACGACCCGGCTGCACCGCTACCCGCAGGAAGATTCCTGGTGCTCAGTTCTGTTACAGGCTGAGTCAACCCAGGGGCACAGTGCGGCTGGAAGTATTAGGTGAACTGAAAATTACAATTACGACATCGGGACTGGAACCCGCGACCTTCTGGCTTGTAGCATAGTGCCTCAACCAACTACACTACCGTGTGAGGGTGGTGGAACTGGAGGTTCCTTTCGATATATACGTACATATAAACGTCAGACACTAACCTGTGATCAGAGAGAATTTAACTGCGAACTTTGGCGGAATCTTGGTGATGACGTTGCTGGAGAGGTTGCAGCCCTTGAGCGCTGTATGGCGCATCAGATGGTACACGGCATCTGGCACCTGCATCAGCTGGCACTCAGACAAATCTGCAAAGCAGAGACAGAATTAGATCTGCCCACAACTAGTGGGGCTTCCCGCTTAGTCGGTACATTTCCATCTAAAAGGAGACAGGAATTTGCGCGCTTGCCATGTAGCATAAATCAGGCGCGTTTCAGCAGACCAATGATTTACGGTGCCCAACTTGGAGCCCCTGGCTTTACTTCATTATATTTACACTAACTGACATCTGATTAGGTGTTATACAACCCACGTAGTCGAGATAGGACCGCTAAGCAAGACAATACACAACACCATTAGAATGAATATTATAATTTTAAATTTAAAATTAGGTTCGGAATTTGTAAATTGTGAGGCACTACAATATATTACGATAGGTAAAGTTAAAAAGAGTTGTCCCTGTGTTTAACTAATTACACACTACGACATCAAGACGTATGCTGGAGTGGATGTATAGATCCACGAATTCTTGACCTCAGCACTAGTTGGAGGTGAGTGGTCAGCTTCACGCTCCGGCCACTTAACCCATGGTACCCACTGTATAGGAGGCTGGGCGGGCCCCAGAGCCGGTCGGAACGACGTAGAGAAGAGAAAAATTTTGCCTTTACCGGGACTCGTACTACAACCCCTCGGTCGTCCAGCTAGTACTGTCGCTATACCGCCTGAGCAATCCCGTCTCTTCTATATCGATATGGTATATGTTTGAAAGTGGCTCCCACATATTCTAGGCAATCGGCTCACAGTTGGCGGTGAGGTTGTCAGCCCTACGCGCCGGCCGGCCGGCCGCCCTTTACCCCAGGAAGATTCCTGGTACTCATTTCTGTTAAAGGCTGAGTCGCCCCCAGGGCCATAGTGCGGCTGGAAGGATTAGGTCAATTGAAAAATTCAATTACCTCATCGGGAATCGAAACCGCAACCTTCCGGCTTGTAGCATAGTGCCTCAACCAACTACAGCCTGGATAGCGCAGTCGGTATAGCGACTGGCTACGAGTTTGACGACCAATGATTCCGATTTCAAGTCCCGGTGGAGGCAAAAATTTTACTTCTCCATGTCGTCCAGACCGGCTCTGGTGCCCACCCAGCCTCCTATCCAATGGGTATCGAGGCCTTTCCCCCGGCGGTAAAGCGGCCAGGGCGTGAAGCTGACGACTCACCTCCAGCTACTACCGAGGTCAAGAAAACGTGGGTCTATACATCCACTCCCCCATACGTCTTCATGGAGTGGTGCTTAATTAGTTAAGTACAGGGACAACTTTGCGTCTAACAGCGCACACTAACATATTTTAGACAATGAGATACAGGTGATGTGTTGGCTCTACCCCCAGTCACTGATTTTCGTTGAACACAGTGGCCGCGCGGTCTAAGGCATGAGCTGTCTTCACTCGCTCGAATGCTAGGATCGTGGGTTCGAATCCCATTGGAGGTATGGATGTCGTATTGTGTGTATTTATTCTGTTTGTGTTGTCCTGTGTGTTAGTTGAGGCCTTGCGAAGGGCTGATTCACCGTACAAGGGGTCATACCGACTGTGTATAGAGTCAAGAAACTGAAAAAGCGGCCAAGGCCCAAAAAAGGGCTGTAGAGCAATAATAATAATGATAATGTATCATAATTCGCAGGTCCCATCGCAGAACCTGTGTGTTGGGCGGCCGTACACCTCCGCGACTGCGCGGTAGGCAACACCGGCTGGTCACCGGCAAAGGTAGACGTTCGCGAATATTGTCACAGTTACATCAGATGTCGCTGCTATGAATTCACCCGCTGTACTAATCACCAACGCAATCATTAACGTTTTCACGTCATCAAAGTTGCTTACCAAAAAAGAAATGAAGACATTCCCACGGCAATGAAAATTCAAACTGTGGTCTTCTGGATGACACTGCACAGTCTGGTAAGGCAAGTGCTGCAGGAGCACGCTTTCCAGTGCACTCATTGTTACATCAGAGAAAAAGGAACCCAAATTGACGAGGCAAGGGGAGATGAGACATGTATGCAGAATTCTGATCGGAAGACGTGAATGGAAGAGACCAATTCGAGGTATAAAACAGAATGAAAGTTGCTGCGTGAGTAGATTTTGTGTTACAGATACCCCGGCATGTTTCGTTCTTACAGCACCATCATCAGGGGGCATAACTTATTAATAAACTTTACAATGAACTTGAGTAAAACGTTAAAATATCTGGGGTATGAATCCCCTTAACATTAAACTTATGTTACAATATGGAGATGGGGGCACGCGGTAGCGTAGTTGGTTGACGCACTATGCTACAAGCCGGAAGGTCGCGGGTTCGATTCGCGATGAGGTCATTAGATTTTTTCAATTGATCTAATCCTTCCAGCCGCGCTATGGCCCTAAGGTTGACTCAGCCTCTAACAGAAATGAGTACTAGTAATTCTCCTGGGCGTAAAGGGTTGCCGACGCATAAGACACACAATCTTACCGCCATCTGTGAGCCGATTGTCTAGAAAATGTGGGAGCCTCGATGTCTCACAACCCTATGGATCTCCACGGCCTGTTACAGGGACAGCTTTATCTTGTAACTTACAATATTGTCACGTCGGTCATATTAAACGCTGTGGAGTTGGCTATATTTTCTTGTTATGCTGTTCCAACGTGAACGTGAAGCTATGTGGCCGTGTGGTGGTATTCCCCTTCATGATGGTCTTCTAGGACCGAAAGATTGTGGGGTCTGTCTCTGGAGGCAGAGGTCTAGGCACACGCGAGAGGATATTGCCACACGCTGGAGTGTCACTATAGACGTGGTTCGGATTGATGACCGGATATTTGACACTGATACAGCGCGTGACTACCCTTTACAATTTACTATTACACACACTAGTGTCCACAGTCATGTCTTCACTGCCGTTGTTTGGTAGCTGTTTCCAACGGTGGACGTCCCCCTTCCTCTGGGTTCCCGAGCTGTGCCTGTGCCTCAGCTACCAGCTTCTAACAGCAATAGGTCACAAGAACTGAACCTCAGCGGTTATCTGACTGCAACACAAGTCAAGTCAAAGTCAACGTTATGTTACGACCCACGGTCAGTCGGCCAGTCTGTCTTGAGGGTTCGGACGGCGAAGAAAACCTATCTTCCATTATTGCTGTGCTCTCCCATTGCCATGGAAATGTTTCTTTGCACAGTCTTCACTTAGCAATGACTGTTGTATAGTTGCTTGTTTCGCGGTCGTTGTCTAGCAATGGGTATACATGCCACAATATTATTGAAGTTGTATTGACGAAATAGTGTGGAAGAGTGTGGACTGGATTCATATCACTCATGAAAGGGACCAGTGGTGGACTTTTGCTGGCATTTGCGATAAATAATCATTCCATAAAAGTCGGCGAATTTCTTGAGTAGCTAAGAGAAACACTGGCCTCTCCATGGAGTAAACAATGGTCCGGTAGTTCTCACGAGGGTCGCGTTTAGGTCTGCCTCCTAACCACAGTGACCAATCAAACCCTGGGAGCTGCGGAGTGACTAATCCGTTTGTCCTTGACCCTCTGCCGGTCTCACGGAAGCGAGTGCACACGGAAGAGACAGCGCAGCCGCTAGGGGAAGGTTGAGGGACATATACGGAAATTCGTCCTACACGGAACAAACTGCGCACTTCCTTTCTAGAAGGTAGAGTCGCGCGTAAATCTAACACTTACTGCAGCACAAAGGGATATTATTTTGAGATTCGAAAAGACAGTTGGCTGCTTTGTAGCTTATTTACTGAATTTATATCAACCTCTGTGCCGATTACAGTGGCCGCGCGGTCTAAGGCATGAACTGTCTTCGCCAGCTCAAACGCTGGGATCTTGGGTTCGAATCCCATTCGAGGCATGGATGTCTGTGTGCGTTTATTCTGTGTTTGTGTTGTTCTGCGTGTAGGTAGAGGCATTGCTTCGGGCTGATCCCCCGTCCAAGGAGTCATACTCACTGTGTCTATAGATTAAGAAACTGAAAATGCGGCCAAGGCCCACATGGGCTGTAGAACCATAGATAGATAGATAGAGAGTAAACGCAAGACGCGGAGTTTCCCACACTTTCGGATCATTCTCGTCATTGAAAAGACTACACTTCTCGGATAGGAAATGTGTTCATTCATTCATCAGTAATCTGCCAGACGACAGGTCCACAATCTCTTCCAAAACAGTTCCTCCACTTAATGCGATCTTCTGTTTTTGGAAAGAGACTATCCAGGAAAAGTGATAATGTGGTAGTTTTTCCATTTGCTTTCCACAAGGAAATGTGTTACGCACTCTTAAATAATTCCAGTGGCAGCATTGTGCGAAGTGATTGGCTTACTGCACAACTGAAAGAACTTCTCTCAATGCTTCTGTATGCCCCACGAAACTATCCTCTCGCTGCTAATTTTGGTTCCCGTGAACCGGAAGCCACATTCAATTGCGTGTCCGTCTACACGGATAAGGTAAAAGGTAAAGTTGTCCCTGGGCTTAATTAATTAAGCACCACTCCGTAAAGACATATGGGGGAGACCCTGACCTGGTCACTAGATGGAAGTGAGTTGGTTTCACGTCCAGGCCGCCTTACTACCAGGGGAAGAGCCCCCAGTAGCCATCGGATGGAGCGCTGTTGGGTGGACCTTAGAGGTGAGGAGTAGAGAGAAGACTGTTGCCTTTGCTCGCCTTCGAACCTGGGCCGTCCAGCCCGTAGCCTCTCGCTCCAAAGTCTGTTTTGTCGCCCCTAGTAGGGTTACACAGGGTAATTTCTCTATGGCCAGAGTTGCGAGGGTCGTGTGCACTGAGGGGCCAGGCACAGGTGAGTGATCTGTGCTTGTGGCACGTGCGGCTTTGTCACGGCGCCAAGAAATGTACTGTCGCGTAGTTAGGGACACGTTTCCAATTTTCTGCGTGTGTACAGAGGGGGGGATCGCCCTAATTAATTTTTAAGGGTAAGGTAAAAGTAATTGTCCCTGGCTTAATTAGTTAAACAGTGTACCATAAAGACACATGGGGTGTTGGTGTATAGCTCCGCCTTTCTTGACCTTCGCACTAGATGGATGTGAGTAGTCAGCTTCACGCCCCTG